TTTTAGACAGCCTGAGTCCTAGGGCCAGGAACGAGCACAGGCCTTGGAGTCAGCAAGCCTTCCTCCAAGGCCACTTACTAGCTATGTAATGGTGGCTAATTGTTAAAATCTTTGGGCTCAGTTCCCTCCTCTGTAAAGTTGGGGTGGTGGTGTTTCTCCTTCATGGTTGTAATGAACCTTAAATGTGATAATGCTCTAACCCTGTGCCTGGGTCTTGTGCACAGCAGATACTCAGTACAATGGGAGCTACCGTTGGAACATTTTTTAATTTTATTTTTTTTATCTTTTGGCCGTGCCACACGGCATGTGGGATCTTAGTTCCCCGACCAGGGATCAAACCCGCGCCCCCTGCATTGGCAGTGCAGAGTCCTAACCACTGGCCCATGAGGGAAGTCCCTACAACAGTTTTAATACCTAATATGAGGGACCAACTCTCACCACCTTATAAAGCATTCTCTGCTCCCCAGAAGCTGCCACCACAGAAGAGACGCCTGGGGGCAAGAGACGCCTGGTGTGTGTGTGTGTGGTGTCTCTGTGGCCAGATCCTCACGATCCTCTTCAGGCCCAGGCTCCTCATCTTTCCTGCCCAAGGCACCCAAAATCAGAGCCTCACTGATCCCCAGTAAGCAGCAGGCCCACGCTTCTGGAAATGGCACTTACTGATCTAATACCACCACGTCCCAGTGTCCTGTGTATTGGCGCGCCAGCCTCAGGGCCAGGTCGTTGGCTTCTGACCTATGACAGAAAAAGTGGATACTGGTTGGACAGCTATCCAAGGGCTTTCCCTCCAGGAAAACTGCTTTCTACAGAGAAACCTGGAGGGAAGGAAGAGCACTTCCAGCACCAAGAAGATTCTTAGGACACCATTCATTAGTCATTCACTTATTCATTCAGTAAATATTTATCAAATGCCTTCAATGTGCTAGGAGCTGGGGGCGAAAATAGTATGTAAAACAGGCAGGCTCTGGCCCTCCTGGAACTTACATTCTACTATGTGTCACGAAAGCCAAAAAACAAAGACAGAATGATCATTTGGTAAGTGCTACAATGGACACAGGGTACCGAGAGAACCAGGTGGGGCCTTACCTTACATAAGGGGTGTTATGGGCTGAATCGTGTCTCCCCAAATTCATGTGTTGAAGCCCTAACCCCCAGTATCTCAGAATGTGATTGTATTTAGAGACAGGGCCTTTAAAGAGGTGATTAAGTTAAAATGAGGCCATCTGGGTGGCCTTAATCCAATACAACTGGTCTCTTTGTAAGAAGACATTTGGACACACAGACACCCGGGGGTGTGTATGCTCCGAAGAAAGGCCATGAAAAGACAGTGAGAAGGTGGCCACCTGCAACCAAGGAGAGAGGACTCAACAAAACCAAATCTGCCAGTAACTTGATCTTGGATTCTGACTTCCAGAACTGTGGGACAATAAATTTCTGTTTAAGCCACCATGTGTATAGTATTTTGTTATGGCAGCCAGAACAGACTAAGGCCACACCTGTAGAGTCCTGAGGGTGAAGTTTCTAGGCAGAGTGAGCAGCACACACAAAGACCTTGTGAAGGAAAATTGCTCAGGGAACCACAAGAAGACAAGGGAGGGCAGGGGCAGCATGAGAGAGGAAGTGGGGAGATAGGCAGGGCTGCAGAAGAGCCTGGATTTTCTTCTCAGTGCCATGTGAAGCTACTGAAAAGTTTTAATCAGAGAAGGGACATGATTCAGCTCCCATATGAGGAGGAAGCCTCTCTGTGTATATAATGGAGTGGAAGGGAATTAAAGTGCAAGTGAGGAGACCTAGAAGGAGGACACGAAGGTGAGAGCAGGTGGTGACCACACAGACAGAGAGAGGTGGATGGAGTTAGGAGACAACCTTGGGACAGACAAGGCAAGCCTGATGCAGGACTGGGAGGAGGGTGCGTTTCTACCTTGAAGAGGCGCAGACGGTGCTGCCATTTGCCAGGACATATAGGGTGAGGGAGGGCCGGTCTTCTTGGGAAAGTCTGGGGTAGGTGCCTGAGAATGTCAGGGAGAGCCAGTGCCATGGTCCCACACCAGGTGTTAGCGAAGACAACTCTTTCTTTTCTTTTTTAAAAAAATAAATTTATTTATCTATTTATTTATTTTTAGCTGCATTGGGTCTTCATTGCTGCACATGAGCTTTCTCTAGTTGCAGCAAGCAAGGGCTACTCTGTTGTGGTGCGTGGGCTTCTCATTGCGGTGGCTTCTCTTGTTGCGGAGCATGGGCTCTAGGCATGCGGGCTTCAGTAGTTGCAGCACGCGGGCTCAGTATTTGTGGCTCGTGGGCTCTAGAGCACAGGCTCAGTAGTTGTGGCTCATGGGCTTAGTTGCTCTGCGGCATGTGGGATCTTCCCGGACCAGGGATAGAAGCCACGTCCCCTGCATTGGCAGGCGGATTCTTAACCACTGCGCCACCAAGGAAACCTGACGATCAACTCCTGATGTCTTTTGGACAGGTGATATTAGACCTGTTCCAAAGTCAAGTGGGCAGTTAGAACCTTGAGGCTGGAACACATGGGAAACATCTGGGTTTAAGATACAAATTTGGGGAACTTCCCTGGTGGTCCAGTGGTTAAGACTCCACACTCCCAATGCAGGGGGCCCGGGTTCGATCCCTGGTCAAGGAACTAGATCTCACATGTCGCAACTAAAGATCCTGCATGCCGCAATGAAGATCCCGCGTGCTGCAACGAATACCTGGCACAGCCAAATAAATAAATAAATAAATACATACATTTAAAAAAGATACAAAGTTGGGAGTCACCAGCATGTGTATGATATGTAATACACTGGAATGGATGAGGTCAGGAAGGCAGAGGGCTCAGAGAGGACCAGCCCTGAGGAATAGAGTCGGAAGAATCGGCATAGGAGACAGGGGGAGTGGCCAGAAGCTGGCAGAAAACAAGAAGCGTGAAATGTTCTGGAAGCAAGACCAGAAAGCATTTCCAGAGAGAATGGTAACTCTGTCAATATTACTGAGAGACAGGAAGATAAGGGCAGCAAAGAGACCAGGTCCCCACACTGCTTCTATGCCTCATAATTCTCTGTACTTTTCTCTCCCAGGCACACTGGGCTGGTTCTGTGTACACGCCATCATCTGCCATTTCTGCCTCCACTGCTACTCCCAGTGTAGCATAACCTATCACCGGTCACTAACTGGTGCCTAATGGTGTCCATTCTTGCTTTCCTCCAGTCCTGATGACATCACTTACCTGATTAAAATCCTCTGATGGTTTCCCAATGCTCTTAGGATACACAGATTCCTCACTTGACCAAAAAAGCCTTGGGTGATGGGCCCTGCCTCCCTCCCCAGTGTCCCCAGGCTCCCACCCTCTGCCCTCCCTCACTGGCTGCCTTTCAGCTCAAGTGCGCTGGGGTGCAAATATTCTTCCTGCCATAGGACCTCTGTACAGGCTGTTCCGTGTGGTGACCTTGACAAGAACACTTCCAATGGAGTAGGCAGCACCCTACCTTCCTCCTCATCTAGCTATCCCCTAGTCAGCTCTTAGCCTAACATCACTTCTTCAAGGACGCCTTCCCCGACCCTCTCAGAGCAGGCCAGGTCACCCCACTGCTTCTATGCCTCATTATTCTCCATAGCTTTCCTCCAGACAATGATTCCTCTTTGTAATTTTGTATTTCTTTGAAGCATCTTTGATGTTTCTGTTCCTTACAGAGCAGGGATTTTGGCTGTAGCTCCCAGCACTGTGCCTGTGTATGCATAAAGCAGAAATAAAGGAACATATTACCTTGGTAAGCCCCAACAATGATCTTAGAAGAGAGGTAATGGCACTCCTTACAAAGAAAACAGGAAAGTGGATCTGACAGAGAAGCAGCGGGGCCTGCAGCTAGGAAGCGTGGGTGCCTGGCCCACTGAGGGCTGCCTCTCCCCACACTCCGTCGGCTACACGATGCTATGCCCATGTGAGCAAATCTCTCCATCGTTGTCTCATCCTTTTGCTGGGGGCTGGCCACAGTGCACTTACCCAGAATTCAGGAAATAAAATACACAGAGCTTCTCCGGTAGGGTCTCGGACAGCCTCTGTGCGTAATCCACGATGTTGTCGTGCAGGTACCGGCTGTTGGTGTTGAGCACCTGGTTCTGTTCATGTGCTGCTTGGACCACGAGAGGGTGGCAGTGCCCAACTGCAAGAGGGCCACCTCCATCACACAGCCGGCCCCACTCAGCCAATCCCTCCGGGCCTCTCCCAGCCCCAATCTGTGAACCCAACTAAAGGAGATGCAGTTATAGAGGCAGAGGTACAGAGGAAAGACGGGAGTCTGAAGACAGAGGGGGTGAGACAGAGGTGCCAGTCTGGAGAGGGAGACCTAGAAAGGAGTCCCTGAGATTCTGGCAGAAGGCAAAGTTCTCTGGCAGAAACCTGATCTCGAAAACCTATGCTCTTTAGGAAGCTTCTCGAGGCCTTCTGCTCAACAAAGACTGGGGTGTGGGATTTGGGGGATGGACAGGGGGTAGGGGTGTCTGTCACTGGCTTGACTTCACCAGGCAGGGGGGCTGGAAGTAATGATGGCCAATGGCCAAGGATTATGATAAGAGAATGAAGATGATTGGGTGCTCACCAAGTGCCAGGCACACTCAAAGCAAGTTACATGAATTAACTCACTTAATCCCCCAAAACATCTGGAGGTGCATACCAAGTATTATCATGTTCATTTTGCAGATGAGCAAACTGAGGCACAGAGACTTAAACTTGCCACAAAGTTAGCAAGTGGAGGACAGGGATATGAACCCAGGCAGTCTGGAACTCCCTTTCCTTCCACCAGCTCTGGTGGCCTCATCTGGATAACTGAATTCCTACTTCAGTTTCCTTGTCCAGGACCTGAGATGATCACCTGGGCTGAAGCCTTGCCATGACTGCCAGGGCTCGGCCAGGGTCCTGTTGGGTTGCTGGCCATGGCTGGGCCGACTGCTGTTCTCTGAGCTCACTATCAGTCTCAAGTGGAAGTGGACCCTTAGACTTAGGTCTCTGACTCCTGTTTCCAAGCAGAGCTACTGCTTGGAAACTTCTACAGCTACCCCAGAAAGACTGGGTCTCCTCTGCACATGGATGATGGCTGAGCAGAACCTGAGTTTTCTATACCTCTCTGAACCTCAGGTTCACCCTTGGACCAGGTTCACAGTGTTGGCATGCTTTCCTGCCCCATCTTGATACTGACCGTGAGCCACATTGTTGATGCAATCGATGTATTCTGCCCCCTGTTCATCATACATGTACTGCCCTTGGCCCCGGACAATCTTAATAGGATCCTCAGGAAAAAAGAGTCTGCAGGAATTGCTGTGGGGACAGACAACGAATGGACAGCCATGTCTGAACACCGGAAGGGAGAAATCCACCCATCACAGGCCTCCCCCTACCCTTTCCCAGTTTCTGGAAAGAACAAAAGCTTGAAGGGCAAGTTGTTGCGTCCCTGCCTCCACTCCCCCCCTCACTCCACAGGTGGCTGGAAAGGAGAAAAAGGATGGGGTAAGAAGTTGCTAAAACAAATTGTTTCTTGGGCTTCCCTGGTGGCGCAGTGGTTGAGAGTCCACCTGCCGATGCAGGGGACACGGGTTCGTGGCCCGGTCCGGGAAGACCCCACATGCCGCGGAGCAGCTAGTCCCGTGAGCCATGGCCGCTGAGCCTGCGCGTCCGGAGCCTGTGCTCCGCAACGGGAGAGGCCACAACAGTGAGAGACGCGCGTACCGCAAAACACAAAAACAAATTGTTTCTTAAGTCATTTGAAGGCTATGTGGCTTCATTCATTCCCACATGTGCCCACTGAGTCGCTCGGGTCCCGGGAAAAGGTGGCTGCCCAGACCCACACGGGCTCCCTAAGGCAGTGTCTCTTTGCTGGGATGAGTGAGGAGGGCATCACCATTTGGTGGCTGGCTCTCGGCCCTAAACAAGTCCTTGCCAGCCAAGCCTGCTGCCCTGCTGGGGGCCAGCCCCAAACTCTAGCCCAAGGCTGCCTCATGCCCCACGTCCCACCGAGAGCCCCTCAGGCACAGGTCAAGGGTAGACTTTCTCTAAGGCTGCCTGTGAGCCGACACCCCACCCCACCCTTCGTCTGGACTTTCAGCCCCTTCCTGGGTCACTCCAGAGCCGGGCCCAGGTCCGGAGGGCAGGCCACCACTGGGCGAGGTCCTCCCAGGAGCCCGGCTGCGGGGGTGGATAAGACGCTGCCAGGGAGGCGCGGGATACGACCGCCGAGACAGGCTGCGCGCGGCGGGGTCTCAGGGGCCAGAGGCGCCGTAACAGGGATAGGTCGTGCGAGGCCGCGGGGGCTGGGGCCTGTAGGCTCGCGCCGGACGTGCGTGCCTTGTGTGCGGCCCCCACCACCGCGTCGCCGTCTCGGTACCTGAGTAGCCGCCTCCTCAGGGCCAGAGTCGCGGCCTTCCCGCGCGGATCAGTGGCCATGGCGCCCGCCAGCACTCGCTCTGAGACACTGCGCGGAGGTCGGGGGGTGGGGGTGGGGTGGTCCCGGCTCCGCCCAAGCCCCGCCCCTGCTGCGGGCCCCGCCCATGGCAGAGCGCGACTTGGAGCTACTGTTTGCCCCGCGGCCCCGCCCCCAGGTGGGCCGTTTCGAGTTTGTTCCTTAATTAAGTTGGCTAGAGCGTCTGGCGGGCTCCCCGCCTCTAAGAAGTTCCTTAGACAACGCCGCGCGGGAGCCGGGTTTGTGCTCGCCTCGCCTAGTGCTGCCCCGGCCCTGGGAACGCACCACGGTCCTCGCCCTCTCGGCCGCTGCTGTTTCCCTCCCCGGGAAGTGCCCCCCGGTGACCCCGCCGCTGCTCCTGCACTCGAGGGGGTCTCTGAGCCTCGGCAGGGGCCTCGAGCTCAGTCCCTAAGTCGCCTTCCCCGTGCATAAAATGGGATGAGCCGTAAGCGTTCAGTGGGAACGTGTGACAGGCACCCAGCCTGGTGCACAGCTGGGGCCTCAAGTAGGCGAAGCCCTGGGGCAGGATCTTGGACTTCCCAGCCCCGTGAAGGAGCAGCAGGAAGGGCAGAAGGAGGGCACAAGGCCACTGCTGGAGCTGACTGAGGAGGTCCTGGGCATGACCTCCAGGACTTCTGCTGGAATCCAGGCAGGGTGAACACAAGCTATAGCAACACTAAGAGAATCTTAGTGTTTAGGTGGGAGGAGAGTTAGGAGGCTTCCTGAGCCTTATACATGGCCAGGAAACGGAGGCTCAGAAAGGGAAAGGGCTTGTTCTTAGACACACAGCAAGTGTGCAGCAGAGGCTGGACTCCCAACTCCAGGGAGTGAGAGGAAAATGCTCCTAAGGGAATGGGAACCCGGGATAGCAGAGAGATATCCCCTCCTGGGACTTTTCTGCCTCGGTGAACCCTAAAGCAAGGGTGTAAGGCTGCAGCCTGAGCTGGGTGGCCTGGGCAGGCTGGGGAAAGGGAGGCTCCTGTTGTTGCTCCTGTCACTTCTTCATGAGTCTCAGCCCTCTGCTTCACCCCCTCATTGCTGATTTCTTCATCTCTTCCCCCATATAACTGTAAAATGCTTAAGGAATTCTTTTTTTTTTTTTTTTTTGGTTTTGCTGCAAAGCTTCTGGGATCTTAGTTCCCCAACCAGGGATCAAACCTGGGCCCTGGCAATGAAAGCACTGAGTCCTAACCTCTGGACCGCCAGGGAATTCCTGCTTAAGGCATTTATTAAAGAACATTTGGAGTTTCTTTATTGTGGTAACATATATATGACATAAAATTTACCATTTTAACATTTTTAAGTGTACAAGTTCAGTGGCATTAAGTACACTCACGTGTACCCATCACCACCATCCGTCTCCAGAACTTTTTCTTTATTGCACACTGAATGAAGTTTCTTTCTTTTAATTGTAAAGCTGAATTGAACCTTGATTCATGAAAAAAATTCCTCCCAAATTAACCAAGAGAGGTTGCTCGCGGCCTGCACATTTTTTCTGAGGGTCAAGCTCCCCTCCCTGCATGTGAAATGTGAGTGGGAGGTCACTGGTTTTCTCAGTGGATCTGCTCCTCCTCTTTGGTAGAGAGACCAATAGGTGTCTGTACATCCTGCAGTTCCAGCTTTTAATGTAATGTGCGTGCTTTTGTGTGTGTGTGTGTGTGTGTGTGTGTGTGGCAGAGGGAGTCTGAGAGCTCTCTGTGGGGCCCATCTTTGGCCCTGTCTTGAGCCCAAACACAAGCCTGTCTTGTGGCCCAGGGCAGCTCAGAAAAGTCAGGTTGGCTCAAGGACTTTTCCTGCTTTAGGGTAGAGGGTAAGAAGGCCACAGTCAGGCCCAGCTCATATCTCACCCACTCCCCGGATGTCCAGAGTCAGGAGGTTGGAGGTCAGACCAGGCTGGGCCATTTACTGGGCCAAGAGTATCTACAATAGGGGCAGGACAACACCAGGAAGCTTCCCCTTCTTCCTACTCAGAGCAGCCCAGTCTTTCCTTCCTCTGGCTCCATGCTAAGCACTCCTCTGTCCATTATCTCATGCCCGACCTCTGAGGTACCATCAGAGGCCAAGAGGGCAGGGGAAGAGAGGAAGTGGCTGAGTCAAGATTTGAAGCCAGGGCACGTCGTTTCTCCATGCAGGCAGCATTGGCATTCTCAGTGAGATGGTTCATCATTGGGCAGGACCGTCCCATGCATTTAAGATGTTTGATGTCCCTGGCCCTACTCCCTAATGCCAGGAGTGTCCCCCAATCATTGTGGCAATCAAAAGCATTCCATGAATTTCTAGTAGCATCCTAGGGATTGGGAGAAAGGAGACCTGGGTAAGCTCACTCCTCTCTGGCCTCAGCTTCATCTGCAAAAGGGGAACAGTCATCCTTGTGATTCGTTTAGATGCCATGGCACACAGTGGGGCTCCATAGATGTGCTTCCTTTGCTTTTGAAAGGGGTAGTTTGAGGCATAGCTGACCTTCTTGGCAGGGGGACATGAGGCCCTCAGTCCTCAAGGCTCAGCTGTGAGGCAGGGTACTCCCTTGTGTCTCAGCGGGGACCTTAGCAGGTCACTCTTCTATAGTCTCTTGCCCCCACCCCAAGCTCTTGGAGGACTCTGCAGACTAAATTTTGAAGTTTGCAGACCTGCGAATACACAGCATGAGGCCACAAGGGGGCAGCAATGGGCCATGAATGGCCCTGTCCTGCCCAAAGGAGCAGGAAAGGGACCCCCTTGGGTATCTGGGGAAGGGGGAACATGTGGCTTCTACCCTCATGAGGTTCTGCGCGCCAGTCACCCAGCATCATGGTGCTACCCACAGACCCCATGCTTTGCCAAGCAATTTGGGAAAGATAAATTGGAGGACATCCAAGAGCCTGGGTTCTGTCCCAAGCCTGCTACCATGCATCCTTGAACAGGGGACTAACACCTTGGAGCCTCACTTTCCCCATATGTAAGACGGAAATAGTGACACCAACCACATAGGCCCTTTACAGGGCTGGTGAGGGGATCCAGTGAGTTACCTGGGTGGAGGAAGGAGCAAATTACAAATTGCAGAGTGCAGTAGATTTGTGCGGTGATGCTGGAACTCCAAAGGACACCTGGATGTCCATTGGTCTCCATCAGCCATCACAGCCCCTCTGTGTTTCTGTTCCTTTTCATACTACTGACTTCTCTGGTGACCCACGTGACTGGCTGAGCAGCATGGCCTGCCATTTATTGCCAGCAACTGAGGGAAACAGAGGTGGAGACTTGACCTATTCTTTCTCCTTAGCCAGTGTGTGGCTGGGCCTGTTTTGTTAGTGAGGAGGCCACGTAGCAGTGTCTGGGGGGACTACCCATACTGTGGCCTCCTTAGGCCTCAGTTCTTGGAGGGAGAAGGCTGAGACACCATCACTGCAGGCCCCTTCTTGTCTACACCCCGGTGGCCCTTGCTTGGGCTTGGGGTCAGGAGGAGAGAGGGAACTTACAACCATGGTCGTTTCCGAGTGCTTGACCTGTCCTAGGTTCTTCGTGTATTCTCACTAAACCACAGTCAGCATGGTAAGCACTGCTGTCCCATTGTACAGATGACGTGGCAGGTTGAATTTTCTAAGATGGCTGTCCATCTCCTATTCCATTTTCTCCTTAAAATATGATGTCAAAAATTTTCCCTTGAATTAGGGTGAACCTCTGATTCTGGCAGGAAGTAACACCATATGAGGCTTGGCTGTAAAAGGTGACACAGCTTCCACCTGGTCCACCTGTGACATTCACCCTGTGAATCCAGTAGCTTCCCTGTGAGGAAGCCCAGACCACACAGAGAGGTGTTCTGGACATCTGAGGTCCCAGAGGACAGACAACATCAACCGCCAGGTGTGGGAAAGCTTGAGTGACAACCGCCCAACTGAGCCCATTACCCCCAGAACTGTAAGAGAGAAACAGAAAGGATCATTGTTTCATTTGCTTGGCCATGCCGCGTGGCTTACGGGATCTTAATTCCCCGACCAAGAATTGAACCTGGGCCCCGGCAGTGAAAGTGCCAAGTCCTAATGACTGGACTGCCAGGGAATTCCCGAGGATCACTGTTTTTTTGTTTGTTTGTCTTTTGTTTTTAAAATTTTTATTTATTTTTTTTACACAGCAGGTTCTTATTAGCTATCCATTTTATACATATTAGTGTATACGTGTCAACCCCAATCTCCCAGTTCATCCCCCCCGACTTTCCCCCCTTGGCATCCATACGTTTGTTCTCTACAGCTGTGTCTCTATTTCTGCCCTGCAAACTGGTTCATCTGTACCATTTTTCTAGGTTCCAAGGATCATTGTTTTAAGGCAACACATTTTAGGGTGATTTGTTATGCAGCAGTCACGGGTCATGAGCTCAGAGGAAACACAGGGGCTCACTGACATGGGTGACTGCACAGAAGGCTCAGCTGGTGTGTAGCAGGGCTAGGCCTTGAGTCTGTGTCTTCCTAACTCCAAACCCCATCTTTGCTGTGAGCCCGAACTACTTCCTCTGGTTTCTGGGGTGGCTCTGGCCCAGGGAGAGTTCCCTTATCCCTCCCCACCCAGCAAAAGCCAGGCTGAAACCTCACCTAGGTACGGTGCTAGGGGCAGTCTGCAAGGACAGGCATACCCAAGACACACATTTGTTGTTTATTTCATGCAACAATTTCCATCTACACAGAGAGGGGAGGCAAGTGGTTGGGCTGGAGCTGGTGGCCGGGAACCCTTGTCAGAGGTGGGGAAGCCTCTTCTCAGAGCATCATTGGCTCAGGGCATAGGTGCCCTACTTAGGCAGGCCTGGAAGCAGCCCTGAGGCTCTCTTCATTTGCATATCTCACTCGGAGGACTCATTTTTGGCAGGCTGGCCAGAGTTCCCCTGGGTGGAAGCCTTGGGGTCAGTGAGACCCAAACTCTGAGCTTGAGGTCCATCTCCTCAGGCTGGCAAAGTCCCATCAGGTCCCTGCTGTGGGTGGTGGAGAGACAGGAACAACAGACATTCCAGCCTGGGACCTCCACATTTGGGGATCATAGGGCTCCTTGCTGCTGGGTCCATGTGGTAGTTATCACAGCGCTTGGCTTCTACTCCTGGCCAGAGGACACTTGTTCTCACGGAAGGCAGGCTGGTTCCTGAGGCCTACGGAACTTGGCGGGGGCTCAACCCCTTAGGGTGCTTCCCACAGCTCCCCGTGTCCAGCTACAGGTGGTGGGTGGGAGTCCTGTCAGCTGGCTGTGGCTGAGTGCAGAGGCCAGAGAGGCCAGGAGCAGCTGCATTTGCCATTCAGGCCCTGAGCCTTTTTGGATGGCCTGGATCCTGGGCTCCAGACCTCCAGAGGGCAGGCTCTTGCAGGGCAGCGGGACAGCCAGAGTCTCTGCTAATCAGGTGACTGAAGGCCCAACCTGACATCTTTGCAGCCTCTCCTGAGCCAGGCACTTTCACCTTCATCAGGAGAAAGCCAAGTCCTGAGGGTGCCCCTCAAGTACACATTGCCCCCAATGGGCCTGTCCACTTTCCTGGCAGCTTCACATGCTGATCAGTCTGGGGCTGGGCTGGGCACACTCTCAAATGTCAAAAGGCCACAGGTATGGTGGTGCATCCCGTGAAAAAAGATCAATATATTACTGTTTTGTTTTTACAAAAATTAAAAATGTCCACACGGATCTGTACAGGTGTGAGATGCGTGCTTGGGGTCACTGGAAAAGGAGGGAAAGACTGAAGGTGAGGAGGGGACTGGGAAGCCCCAGAGGCCCTGCCCCTGGTCTGGGCATCCCCATCCTGCTCATTTCCTCAGGAACAGCTGCACCCCCAATCCTCTCACCCCAATCTCCTGGATTCCACCCCCTCTCAGGGGGGCAGTATGGACAAAGTCCCAGGGGGTGCTGATGGCTTTGCACTGGCCGGGCCAGGCGTTGAGTGAGCCCTTTATGACCAAGAGGGTGGTCTGTGCACAACCACCTAGGATCACAGCCCTGGGCCTGGGGCCACGTGATGGGAGAGTCAAATCTAGGGTCATCACGGGGAGACCTGGCTGTTCAGTCACTGTGTGGGGAGCAGCAGGCACCCAGCCCTGAGGCCCCCTGGGCCCCCCACTCCTCCCAGCCTGCCCTGGAGACTCTTCCCTGCAAGGTACCTTATGCCAGCAGCCAGGCACGGGCAGCCCATCAGGGCCCTGGAAAGGAAGAAGGTTTCAGTGACAAGGATGGGGGGCTGGTCAGCTCTCTGTGCCCTACACACTCCTGCCCCAGGTGTAGGGAGCTGCAGCCCAGGGAGCTGCCACCTGGGGCCACCGGACCCCACTGAGGCAGGGCCCGAATGCCTGCCCTGTCCACCTGGGTAGTCAGGTCATGGGACATGACAGCCCCTCTCTGTGCTTATTCCAAGTGTGCCCCATGGGCTTTGCTGGGACATATGTGCTGTGGGCAGAACCAGGACACCATGGAGTACAGGGCATCATGCCAGACATCCACAGGCCAGGAGTAGGGCCTGGCCCTGGTCCTTGCGAGAGGCTGCATGGCTTTCTGTCTGGCAGCTGTGACAGTGGCTCTAACAGCTCACACTGGGGGCCTGAGAGCTCTCAGGCATGTGTCCAAGAGTATCTGAAGGACAGTGTAGGAAATGGGATTCCCTTTTGGCCTGTCCTGGTACCTGTGTCTGGATCTGAGTGGCAGACAGGGGAGGTTGAGGTCAGGGTGGACACTGGGCCGGGGTGGGGAGGTGTGTGTGGGGGGTTGAGGTGGGGATCGTCTGGAGGTACCAGACACAAGCAGGGGGGTGGGTTTCTTCAGGTGGTCCAGAGGTGGGGAGCTGGAGACGGACAAAGGCTGACCCATCAGTCAGCCTAGCATCCCTGGTGGACGCCGTAGTGGACAACACTTCACTCCGTTCCAAAGCACACAGGCAGACCTCAGACACGTGGGAGCACACCCCCGGCACTGCCATGCATCCACCAGGGGCAGAGGCTGGGACTCAAAGGGAAGTGGGGAGGACGGGGAAGAATGGAAAGGCAGGCAGAATGGAGGAAGGCAGGGCAGAGCAGCGGGCACAGACAGCTCAGAATGCCCAGCACAGCACGGCACACAGCACACAGCAGGCCAGGCCGCGTACCGCAGGGCAGGGTCTGCTGCCCCTCGCCAGGCCCCTGGAGCCTGGCGCCCCTCGCCTGCCTCCGCATTTAAGATTCTCCTGTTTCAAAGACAAAGGCTTAATGACATGGAGGGAAGTCTTGGCCCAGGGCCAAGGCTGCGGGGCTGGGCCACCCTGTTCCCCTGCTGTCACTGGCCCTTTCAGTGTGTGCTTGCCTCCTGCTCTGCTCTGCTCTGTTTTTCCCATTGCCTCCTCAAAGCCATCTGGAGCTAGGGATTAGCACCCCCATTGCATGGATGAGGAGACTGAAGAACAGAGGGCCAAATGACCCACTTGAGGTCAGAGGACTGGGCTTCGGGGGTCCCTGCTCCTGACCCGCCTTTGGAAGGGGTACACAACATGGCTCCGTGTCCCTGGCGGGGAAGGCCAGATGTGAGTATCTGGTGAGTTTTAGTATGAAAACTCAGCTGTTTTGTTTTTCCTGTCTTTTCTGAGCTTCACTGGAAGAGTTTGACAAGTAAACCCTCCCTGCCTTCTAGAAAAAGAGAACCAAACTTTGGTTATTTCAGGTACTGGGTCTGGTGGGCCGTGAGAGGCTGTTGTAAAGCAGGAGAGGAGAAAGGCTGTGAAGGGAAGGGGCTTTGGGGCATGTGGAGGGGATGCAGGAGACGAAGTGTGGGGCTACCCAGACCAGCAAAAGCCTCCTCTGGGATGGGAGAAACTCCCAAAGAGGTGAGCGTGGTTCCATCCCCCTTTAGGTCCAAGGAAGCTCTGTCCCTGACCAGGCCTCCCTCTCTATAGACAGGGTAGGTCCTCAGCCTCGCCCATGGAGGGGTCAGGACCAGAGCAAGAGGAGCCATCATGACAGCAGAGACAGCAGGGGTGGCCCTGCAGTGTGGGCCCCCCAGGGCGGGACCCATGGGGCCCCTGGGACTTGCAGCTGAGTTCTGAGTACAGGGAAGACATGGCCCCACCCTGGCAGGAGTCGGCAAAGACCTGGGTTGGGGCTTCCACGTCTCGCCAACACGTACCACTGGACATGGCTGGTCCAGGCCTGGGGGTCCCGGCTCGCCCTTCTGGCCTTTCATTCCTTTCCGACCGGGGACACCGCGCTCCCCCTGTGCAAGGAGGGAGATGGCGTGTGGCGGTGGCTGCCAGGCCCAGGGCGCCCACAATGCCTCTCAGAGAGATGGGCCTGGGGCTGGCAGCCACCCCTGCCCTGCTGCCTGAATCCCAGCCTCTCGGCCCTACCTCCTCCCGCCCACCCCGCCTTCTCTCTGCTTGCTTCCTGTCTCCCGCCTCCTTTCTTTTCTGCCTGCTCCCCCCTTCTCTTCACTTGCCTCCCTCCTTCTTTCCTCCTGCCCTCACCTTCTCTCCAGGTGCCCCTCACTTTCTCGCCACCTTCCTCACCTTCTCTCCACGCTCGCTCCGGTCGCCTTTCTCTCCTCGAGGTCCAGGGAAACCCTGACAAAAGGATTAAAGGTTAAACCTGATGATGAAATTTGAGGTTTGTTCTGCTTATCTGTTCATCTCTGCTCCTCTCTGACCCACCTTTGCCCCTTCCCTCCATGCATATTCGTGGTACAAGCTGGACCAGCCCCAGCTCCCAGGTGACACAGATGCTGGGTACCAGGATGACTTAGAGAAAACATGCATTCAGGACACCAGCACTGCTTCCTCCAAAGTAGAACACTGTTGCTGTTTCTGGATGGAAGCCCTCAGGCAGAACCGCTAGCAAGGGGCTTTCTCTTATGTCAAGTCAGATGCAGCATGCATTGGCCCAGGCTTGGCTGGGGACAGAGACACAGGAAACCCACGTAAGTTTATATCACCATCTTCAGCAGACCAAGTAATGGTGCCCTCTGTTCTCTGCCTTTGGCTCAAACTCTTATATGCCCACCCACCCATCCATCCATTTGTCCATCTGTTCATCTACCCAACCAACATTTCTAAGCATCCACTAGGAACTGGGCTTTGGGCTGAATGCTGAGGGCAGAAAATCAGATTTGATATGCTCCCTCTTATATTTACTACGTTGTTTTTAGAAATATGATACATTGATATCCTCAAAATCTTGCTGGCTAGGGAGAGGCTGCCTCTCCCAGGGGTAGCCAACTCTTACATATAGCAAAGGGCTAGGCTGGAAGCATGCCTTTCAGATGCAAACCAACCAATCCCCCAACTACCCACTCTATCTAACTCACACACCAAGTCAATATTTCCCCTGGCTCAAATCATGCCAGGACCAGGTAGCAGGCAAAAAGAGACCACCCCTATAGCCCAAAGTCTGCCAGGATTATTTAAATTAGCCAGTCCTAAACTATTTACTCTGCTCTGCCTTGCTTTTCCCATAGAAACACCAATAAAAGCCCTGGCCTAGGCTTTTTCCGCACTCCTTACTGCCTGCCAACCAAAACTGCTGCGTCTCCATGTGGCCCCATGTGGGACATGCCATTTCCCTGGGAAATGTAAGCTATAAGTTCTTCTGTCAAAGGCATTAGGCCACTCTGTGTCATCACTAAGTCACCTCCATAAATTAAAACCCTGCAGGTACAAAGGTACACAGTCTAACATGGCAGGCAGTGGGGTGCAGAAGATGATGATCAATGGTCAGTGACAGAGGTCTGAACCAGATACCAGGGGGTCCCAGGGAGAGGGGCTCTTCTGTCCAGGTGTGAGGTCAGGTAAGGCTTCCGAGCAGACTCCCCATTTCAGCAGGGCCTGGAGTAGATGCCAGGCGTTTGCCATGTAGAGCAGGTAGGTGTGGCTTTGAGATGCCACTCTGAGCTCCAGGCCTCCCAGAGAGCAGCTGTGGCCACAGTGAGCAGCTGGGGGCATGGAGTCCCTTTTGCTCCACCCGCACTACCTCCCTGGGTCCACAGCCTGAGCTGGACTCATCAGTGTCTTCTCCTGACCCTCCTCATCGATGTAATGTGGCCCTCCCAGTCAGAAAGTCAGTCTAGAGTTCTTCCTCTTCCTTGTCTGCAGGTGCTTTCCATGGCGACATTTTCTCCTTAAAGTCTAGGGTGGACGCCAGAGCCCTTGCAGCCCTGCCTGCATCTGGTCACCATTTCCCTTGCAATAGCTACCTGATTTTCCTGGGAACCACCCTCCCTTCTCACAATTCACCAACTCCACCACCAGCTCCAGGATGAAGCATGTGAGCAGGCTGGCCAGTCAGGGCACTGCATTCTTATGGCAAGTGACATTTCAGCATTAACCTAGCTGGGGCCAAGGAGAGTTGCTGAGACTTTTTCTCAAGGAGTAGAGAGTGAGGCAAATGCCTTTCTCCAGGATTTGGACCGAGGGGGATGCAGGTCTGGAGCTCTTGGCTCCATCTCATCACCATGTGGAAACTGGAATGATGACTACACAGAGGAAGCAGAGACAAGAGAGAGTGAGAGGTTGGCTCGTGTTGACACACTTGAGCCCTGGATCTATGTGTCACACATCTGGATTTTTCAGGTATGAGTCAGTTTAAACCAGTTCAAATTGTGCTTTCTGTCTCTTGATCCAATCAACACTGGGTTAATACTTCTCCTTCTCTCCTTCCCACAGTACTGCACTAGCTGAAGCCTCGTCATCTTTCACCAGGATATTGCAACAGGCTCCTCACTGCTCTTCCCACCTCCCTACTCCAACGGATCATCTATCCATTCTCTATCCTCCATCCATCCTCCACCATCCTCCATCCATCATCTATTCACTTATCATTCATACATCCATGATCCATGATCCATCATTAATTTACATCCATCATCCATCATTTATTTATATCCATCACTCATTTACCCACCATCCATCCATCCTTCATCCACCCATCCATCCAGCCATCCATCAACAAAGCACCTACTCTGGGCTGTGTGTTGGACTTAGCAATGGGGACGTGGGCAGAACGAGTCAGTTGTAGTCCCAGCCATGGGGAAGGGGGATACATCCAAGCTAACCAGATCAAGTTACTGTATGGGCAGCATGAGGGCAAAACTTACACATGGGAGGGACCCGGTCACAGTGAACGGTGAGATACTTACATCTAGTCCTGGCTCCCCGGGTCTGCCCTGAGAAGAGACAAAGAGGAGATGTGAGGGGGCTGAGAAGGAGGTGCTGGAAACACAGCTGCTGGGAAGTTCAGCCCTGTGAATTGTTCACAGAACCTGAATTCTGGCCCCAGGGACCAGTGAAGTGCAGGGGTTGAGCCCCCAGGACTGAGTGACACCATAGTTGGGGGGCATTAAAGGAAGGATGTTACCTTCTCTCCTTTGGTTCCCGGCAGCCCAATAAGGCCTGGCGGGCCAGCTGGCCCCTGGGTAGAAAAGGAATGGGTCAAGAGGCATGACAGTTATAGAAATTAGCACCTCTAAGGACAAACAAGGCTCATGACACTCACAGGCAGGCCACTGGGTCCTCTCTCACCCGACATGCCCTTCTCTCCCTTTGCTCCGTCCAAGCCCTGGAAGCAAAGGGGAGACATCAGTTAAGGGGGCCAGACAGATGGCAGGACAGGAAAGCTTGGGGCCTGTGCGGGAACCGAGGTGTACAGGGCGGAGGGACAGACTCCAAGCTCTGAAAGGCCTGGCCCTGGCTCTCTTCTTGTGCAAATAATCAGAATGTGGGTGTGCACATTTTACCTTTTCTCACATGTGGGCTTTTCCAGTAATCATGGAAGGTGGTTATGGTCACACCCATTTCACAGATGAGGAAACAGAGGGACAGAGAGGGGCAGGGACAGGCCCAGTTGTACAGCCATGAAGTGGCAGGGCTGAGTAGCAACTGTGTTTCTGCGTCCCAGTCTTGGACCCCATCCCTGACAGCAGCTGCTTCTTCTAAACATGATCTGGGGAGGCCTCGGGACAAAACAGAACCAGAAGCAGCACATCTGGTTAGGCCACATGCCCGGCCCTACTCAGCTCTGGGATTCCATGATTCTGAGGTCCCATTCAGCATCTGAGTTTGGGAAGCAGAGAGATGTGCTCTCCCCCAGGGTAAACTAGGGAGATGCAGGGAGGCCAGCTGGCCTCTCTGGGACAGGGCACATGGTCAGGCCACACTCACGGCTTTAATTTAAGAGCAGAGGACACGACTTTATGTAATATACACCAAACCCAAGACGTCATATCCAGGTGTGGGCAGTTGAAAGACAGATGTGCACTAGGGGAGGGGGCAAGGAATGGAGAGGCCAAGTGTTGGGTGGGGGGCATCAGCGGGATTATTCTACAGGGGATTGGGAATGGCCAGGCCCTGGGAAGATGCAGGGCTGGTCCAGGGCCGAGCATGGGGCCCTCGCTTTGCCTACTAGCAAGACGTTTTGGAACTGTCCGGGCTGTGAGCCTGCAGCAAGTGGGAGGGGCTCCTACCCATGCTTTCGGACTCACCTTGGGACCCTGGATTCCCTGAAGGCCCTGGAGGAGGAGGGGAAAGCAGGTCAGAAAGGCCATCAGGCTGGGTCCAGACCTCCAGGTCAGGCCCTGTTGCAGTGGCCACATAGGCTTGCAGGCCACTCACTGGCCCCTGTGGCCCTGACCTCTGCGGCCTCCCACGCCCAGACTTGGGCTCTGCCCTCCTTGTCTGATGTGCCCCCTCCCCCCGGGGTATCCTCTCCTCCCCGGGGCCTGAGGCCACCACCCTCTTCGTATCCCAGCTGCTTCAAGCCAAACATTCTTACCGTGGGGCCTGGGGGACCAGGGGGGCCTGGGGGCCCTGGTTCCACTATGATCTGGGCCTAGGAAGGGTCAGAGGTGGATTAGTCACCCATCGCCCCGTCATCCCTCACTCACCCACACTTGAGTTCATCGGACATTGGAGGAGCACTGCCGGGGTACGGGCGCCGAGCTCCCTGCTGCCCCCAGGAGGGCTCTGCCTGGTGGGAGGCCCAGTGCTGGCCTTTGGGTTCAAAGACAGGCCTCGGGCTCCCCCTCCCCCTCCCTCACTGCCCTGGGCTTGGTCAGGCCAGGTGGCCCTTGTGTCCCAAGGCTCAGGGCCCCAGCCAGCCCTCAGCAGAGATCCTCAGCAGCCCCCTTACCAGGCTCTCCCGTAGGGCGTCAGATGCCGGATCTCCCTTCTCCCCTTTGGGGCCGTCGGCACCCTGCAGGATAGGATGGCCTTGAGCCTTTTTTGTCCATCACCAAAATCACCATCCATGGGGTTCAGCACCTCCCCTTCCTTCCCCCATAAGACTTCTGGGCAGCAGTAATAAGTTGGCCTTTGCAGCTTAAAATAGTTTTCCTTAAATCAGTGGGTTTGTTTCCTGTGGGGCGGGGGCAGCCAGGGGCTCTGGAAGTAAAGACCTGGAGCTCAAATCCTGGCACCAGCTCTCTAGCTGAGTAAGCCTCATGGATGGACAATGGGTATGTAGTGGTGGCAGCTCTTCGCATCTAGCCACGCACGACAAGAGCAGTGATAAAAATGATGGTGGCAGAGGGTATTTATCACGTTAGCCAATCATTCTCAGCCCTGTCCATGTGTTCCCTTGTAGGAGTGGGAGATTTTCACCCCCATTTTAGTTAAATTAAATTATTAATTAATTTTTAACATCTTTATTGGAGTATAATTGCTTTACAATGGTGTGTTACGTTTCTGCTTTATAACAAAATGAGTCAGCTATACATATACATACATCCCCATATCTCCTCCCTCTTGCGTCTCCCTCCCACCCTCCCTATCCCACCCCTCTAGGTGGTCACAAAGCACCGAGTGGATCTCCCTGTGCTATGTGGCTGCTTCCCACTAGCTATCGATTTTCCATTTGGTAGTATATATAAGTCCATGCCACTCTCTCACTTCATCCCAGCTTACCCTTCCCCTCCCCATGTCCTCAAGTCCATTCTCTACGTCTGCGTCTTTATTTCTGTCCTGCCCCTAGGTTCTTCATGACCATTTTTTTTTTTTTTTTAGATTCCATATATATGTGTTAGTATATGGTATTTGTTTTTCTCTTTCTAACTTACTTCACTCTGTATGACAGACTCTAGGTCCATCTACCTCACTACAAATAACTCAATTTCGTTTCTTTTTATTCACCCCCATTTTAGAGATGAGGAAACTGAGGCCCAGGGGAGGTTAGGTCACTTGTACAGGGTTCCAGAGTCAGTAAGAGATGGAGCAGGATGCAAATGTGGGCTGTCAGAGCTCCCAGTCTAACCACCGGACACTAGGCGAGGCCTCCTTATTTCACCTTAAGGAGGCCTTGGGAGGTAAGTGGGAGGTCCTTCTACAGAGGAGGAAGTGGGGGCTCAGAGTCAGGGCAGCCCAAAGCTTCCCTTCAAAGGCTCGGTGGGCCAGGGCTGGGCTGTGACTAGGACCGTAGGGCCCCAGCCCCTGGCAGCCACCGTGGGGGACACGCATTCACCTTGGGGCCCCCGCATGGGGCAAGTAGGGTGAGGCCCACCCAGCCACATACCGGAAGGCCTGACAGGCCCATCTCTCCTGCTTCCCCTTTGGGTCCTATAGGCCCGGCTTCTCCTGGGTCTCCTTTCTGTCCTTTGGGACCCTGAAAACCGCAGAACAAGGTACAGTAGGCACTTTCCCTCCCCCCAACGCTGGCAGGTCCCCAGAGCTTAGTCCAGGCCAAGCCAGACCCCCACCTCCTCCTTGTGGGTCCTCCCCTCCAGACCAGGTGATGAATGAGCAGAGGGGCCTGATCGGAGACAGAGAAGGGGCAGCCCCTGGCGTGCCTCACTGAAAGCAGGGGTGCAAGGTGGGGCAGGTGGTGGAGGGGGTGGAGCAAGTGGGACTGGGACTGGGCAGCTGCCAAGAGGCGCATATGGGGTTTGGGGCCAACCTTGGCTCACATCTCAGGAGCCAATGGTGGGAGCCCCACATACAACCAACCATCCCTCAGTCACCCTTCCAGCCACTGTATTCCCTCATTCAACCAATTCTGTAACATCCACTGTGTACCACACATGAGGGACCCAGTGTTAAAGAACACCCACAAATGTTAAGTGGTTCTCATGGACACTGTCGAGTCTATGTAGGATCACACACACACATGTACACTTGGAATAATATTAATAATGACAGTGATACTTTTAGCTAACATTTGAAGACTCTTTGCTATTACATGCGGGCACTGCTCTCAGGTGTGTTCCATACACAGTTATTTGACCCTCATGGCAGCCCTGTTTTACCATCTTCACCTGTGGGTGACGAACTAAGGCTGCCAGAAAGTGAGTAGCTTGCCTGAGGTCTACGGGCAGAACCAGGATTTGCACACAGGCTCCAGAGCCCACTCTGTTCTGTTGCCTCTCTCCAACTCTGCGCGCGCACACGCGCACACACACACACACACACACACACACACACACACACACACGAGTCCAACGCCAAGCACCAGCATCACCAAGGAAATGAAAGGCCCAGAGACCTTCTCTCCGTCGATTCCTGGAGCACCAGGCAATCCAAGTTCGCCCTGGAAGGGAATAGACAGCAAGGGGGGTTATGGTGTCCCACAGCCCCTGGCAGGAATTTGTGGCCAGGCTGCTTCCCCTGACCAGCACACCAGCCCTGGGTTGGGTCCCTGCAGTTGGAGCTTCAAGAAGATGCCCACTGGGTGTCCAGCACAGTGCCAGGCACCAACCACCCTCTCCTCCATTTCCTCAGCCTCTATGGGCAGGTGCAGCCCGTGGCTATAGTAGGTTGGTAGTTACAGATTTGGAAGCTGAGGCTCCAGGCCACACAGCCCAGGGATGATGGCAGAGACCAGACCCTGCCTGATTTCAAAGTCTTGGGCTCCTTCTCCTGAGCCAAGTGGGCAGGTGTAAACGATGCACACAGGCCACAGGAATG